CCATCCATCCATCCATCCATCTCTTTATCAATCTAGCTCCTATGTCTTTAATCAATTAAGTCATGATTCATAACCCTATTGTTCTGTGTTACAGTGCTGCCATTGAGAGGATGCGAGAAGCAGATGATGCATTTCGTCACCAACTCCATGCAGAGCGTCAAGCAAACGAGCAACAAATGATCAGAATCGTCAAAGAAAAGGAAGACGAGCTGGAAAGAGCTAATAAAAAGGTGCTTGTGGATGATTCCAGTACTTCCGCATTTACTCGTTCAAGCGTCGCAGTGCTCATTAAATGTTTGGGTTTCATATGCGGCTTTAATTCAGGAACGGCGTTTATCAGGGCGTAGCTTACTCAAAAAATTTTTTTTACTATATACATAATGTATAACCAATGATTTAGTACAAAGTAAATACAGACGTTAAAAAAATAAAAAATGCCATTTTCTTCTTCTTGCTATGGATGAAAGCGACGCTTATTCGAGGGCAGCGTTTTATCGGGGGCGGCGCTTAAACGAGTAAGAACGGTATCAGAATATCCCTGGATCGATCCGCCCTGTGCGAGTCTTATAGAGCTGATAAGTGTGACGTCATTTGTATGGAAAAAGATTTCCGGGACCTAAACGAAAAGTAGTTCTATAAAGATTTTTCTTCGTTTTTCTTCGTGACAGGATTTGGTTTTCAAAGTTCTCCTTAAGTTCTCTTAACGAGCAAAACTGGAGGAGATGGTACCACCCCTAACCTCTAAGACACATCCCTGGATGCGCTAACTATTCCCTGAAAATGTGCAATAAAAATTATCGCCATCATGGACCGATGTGAGGCTTAAGTTGTGAACAAAGGAATCTGGCGTGATTCGTGACTTTTGAATCACGTCAGATTACTTTGAGTCACGCCAGATCCCTTTGTTCACAACTTAAGCCTCACATCGGTTCGAGTTTTGAATTTGGTCTATTAATAATGTAATGATTCATGTTGACAGGTTTTAGAAGTTGAAGATGAAATGAGACAGCTTCTTCAGGAGAATGCCGTCACAAGGAAGACCTTGGAAATGAGAATCAAAAAACTGACGTCTGCTTTTACTGAGATTCAGCAGGACTTGGCTACGTGATGAAGGAAATAGAGCTGTTACCTTGTGACTCATTTATGGCTCCAACTGTTCACAAAAAAGCTAACAAATAAAGCGAAAAATGTTCTCAACGCTTTAAAATCCACTGGAAATAGTTAACTCCWTTCACAAAAAGAAACACGAACCATTTCACAGAGAAAAAGCAAGAAAAAATCTTTCTATAACAGGGACGGCGGAGCAGTTTTTTGA